CCAATTTTGACCCCAGGGCTTTTATTTGAACAAAGTTGGTAGACACTCATGAGAAGATGTTTCATGCTAAATATCTTAGCTCTAGCTCTTTTGGTTCTTTAAAAGAAGATTTTTTAAGTTTTTACTATATGCATATAGGGAAAATCAATGACCCCTGGGGCGGGGCCAATTTTGACCCCAGGGCTTTTATTTGAACAAACTTGGTAGACACTCATGAGAAGATGTTTCATGCTAAATATCTTAGCTCTAGCTCTTTGGGTTCTTTAAAAGAAGATTTTTTAAGTTTTTACTATATGCATATAGGGAAAATCAATGACCCCCTGGGGCGGGGCCAATTTTGACCCCAGGGCATTTATTTGAACAAACTTGGTAGACACTCACTAGAAGATGTTTCATGCCAAATATCTAAGCTCTAGCTCTTTGGGTTTTTTAAAAGAAGATATTTAAAGTTTTTTCTTTCGGTTGCCATGGCAACCAGAGTTCTGCATGGAATTAAATTCTTTGAACAATTTTTAAAGGTGACCACCAAAGGAACATTCCTGTGAAGTTTGGATGAAATAAAAGTAAAGTAAAAGTTTACGGACGGACGGACGGACAACAGCCGGACGCCGGACGAAAAGCGATCACAAAAGCCCACCCTGTCCCCTGTCACTTTGTGACAGCTAGGTGAGCTAAAAATGTTCCAACATTCTTTACATAATTAAATCTAACCTTTCTTGCCTTGAATTTGAACTGTTCATTTTTATATTGAAATCAGGATTTCTATATGATAATCAAAATGCTAATGCAAGGTCAATGGTTCTTAGGTTCCTGTTATACCTAAAATAATGAACAGAAGGGCATTAAGTTCCTAATTTCTCCACCAATAAACCTGTTGAGATGCCACATGACCTTCAAAGTGTCATTGGGACTTAAAAACCGAGTAAAATAGAAGAAAATTTCACATCAGCAATAATTACAGACTTCACTTCTTCATTTTATCTTCATTTCTTAATTTGAAACTTTTTCATCATGCAAGTGCCATAATGAAAATCCTCTCGGCAGTATATTGTAAAACTTCATATATTTGTAGACATAATAAACCTTGATGAAGACAAGTTTCCCCCAGTCAAGCTGATATGACATTAAATCAGAACCAACCCTGTGGCACACATAAAAACTAACATCCAATCAGACAATCCCGTCAAATTGCTGCACTCAATTGTAACGCATTATAGCTCCATATGGAGAAATCATATAAAATTATTCTTGGTACTAAAATGGGAATAGAAAACAATAGGTTAAGATGAAAGTTCATCCATTGCTAGATAATATTCCTCATATTTACAATTATTATGGTAGACTTTCTTTTTTTATTTCCTGTAAATTTTACAAAATGTAGCTTAAGTCAGTTTCTTTTTTCATAATTTTTCCATACATTTTTTTTTACAATTTTCCATACCAAGTTTTTATAACTTAATGTTGCAAACTCAACAACATTCTGAAAACTCACTAGAATGCTTCTGGAATCTGGCAATTGCAGATTTTTTTTTTTTTTTTTTTAATTTTCACTTTAATATTTTTGTTTCTTAATAAAGTCACAGCATGCCAGCTTTTAAATGATTAAGAATTAAACAAATAAAAATCTCCCACTGGAATGCATTACAACTTTGATTATTTTGTTGTTGTCATTAAAATCTTTAAAAACAGACACAGTCTGCCTTGTGTTGACATACGTAAAGAATATTGTAAAAGCTCAAAGCAAGTAAAAAAAGAAATTTTATATTGAAAACAAAGAAATAAAAACATTTTAAAACGAAGACAATTATTTATAAATTAGAAACTCTGTGATTTATAAATATATCATGTAACTCACTGCCAACTATTCACATGGATGAATGTATCATACTAATTAAAGTCACCATGGAGATTATTCTGGATTACAAGGATATCCATGGAAACTCCACAAAGTCTAACATAGCTGGCAGATGATACTCCCTCATGTCCATTTAACAATGCTTAAAACATTTAAACATGGTCTTATTATGAGATCAAGCCATGTTGTTCTGACAGGACATAAGTTGTCCCCCACCCCGCCATACTTTAACCAACTGGCAATGCAGTATAGGTAGTGTGAAAGAAGAAATGTGGAAGAACAAAAAAGAAATATCAACAAACACATGTCAGTAGGTTGGTGAAATCATTACCAATTAAAGGAAATAATAAAAGCAGTGAAAATACAATATTTTCCCCTTCAAGGTCACGTCAACGTCAAATATTCAGTTTGGTCTTCTTGGGGATATTGTTCTTATGGTTGTTAGAGTCAAAGTATGAAGACCATCCATAGCATTTAATAGCAAAGATATAGCCAGTTACAGCAAAAATCAAGCGAAATTCAATAATTTGACCAAGGTCAAGTTCATTTATAAGTCAAGGTCAAGTTCAGTAAAATAATGTAGAAAACTCATTAATAAATAACAACGTGAAAGGGAGACACAGGCAAAATTTTCATTTCTTAGTTTTGAATTTTTCATTCATTATTCTGTAAATGTCCTCAAAATGAATACACTAAACAGTCAAAGGAACAAAACTTTTCTCCATATAAAGAATAAAATGGTGTTTTCCTAACTTGACCCGCGTGGGTCAGGTTAGAGCGCTAAGATTTCACAATAGTTGTCACTGTGTACTCTTGAAACGTTAAAGAACATGTCAAATCAGTTACTTAAACTTGTTTCAATCAAACAATATCCACAATACCTGTTATGGTAAGTTCCAGGGTTTGTTCAAATCACATGACTTGTTTTTAAACTATTTGGTGATTCTGTTGGTGTCTAAATTTCGTTCAACATATATAGATATATTTAAGCTTTAAACCCAAAATATATATAATTTACACAGAAATTCATGCTGGGACTTTAAGAAATGTCATTTTAGTGTGATTTCAGTGCACAAGATCATTTTTATATTTTTGTCATTATTTTGCCTGAGTATCCCTTTAAAGCTGTTGTAGCAAAAAATAAAGGCAAAGTGCAAAAATTTGCCTTCCAAGCTAAGGTCATTTATGAGTCAATGTCAAGGTCTACTTGAAGATCTTACTCATGCACTGTAATATCAATCCATTATGAATTCAAAATTACAACTAAAAAACAACAACATGTTTTCAGACTGCAAAGGCAACATCAAGGACACCATGACTGTAGCAATATGTGAAATTTTTTCCTCAAAAAATTCTAGAATATGACATAAAAACCATGGTCCAAATAATTAACCTTGGCATTACTGAGCAAATCTGGTGCTGAAACACATGATTTTATTATTGTAACATAAAATGACAAAGCAATAAACCAGCATGACTTTTATGAGTGGGCATAATGATAAATCTAATTATAGTCAATAACGAAATAAACATGGGTTAAAGTAGACAATATCCATTAACAAGTATATTCATTATTATCATGCAGTACTAATGATGTCAAACTTGATGGCAATTACTATAACTGAGTAGCAAATAATGAATTATGAACGATTATATGTAAATTAACAAAACATTAAATTTGTTGCCACTATAAACTATATAAGAACAAAGGAAACTTGCTATTTTTAAGGGTGGGAGAGTGTTTTGAGACTCGAAGGAATTTGGAATAAGCGCATAATGTAGAAAGTCACATAGAAACAAAGTAATTGTGCATAATTGGTTCTTTTGAGTGAAAAATGCTATTATCAGTGACATGTGGATTGATTCTCACTTTTACGATACATATTTAGCATTTTTAACCAAAAAACAAACAAAATTTATTTTCATTTTATGCCTTTTTTTCCCTTAGTAAAAATTCTATGATTTTCTTTGGCTGTTTTCATTGAAGAGCAACAGAAGCACAAGAATATGAAGTTAGGCCTTAAATAGTTACACAAACACTAAACAAACAAGTGTAATCCTTGTGTTTTAACTTTTAACTTTTTAAGGCTGTTATGATAATTATATGAATCAAGAAATATGCCATAATGAACAAAACTGAAGAATCAATTTATAGGAATCATACAAATTAGTAAGCACACCAACATAAAGTTCTGCAAAGCTGTATATTACTCATATTGTGAACAATATACTGTGATTGATCATGGATTTTATTTTACCTATAAAATTCATTGTATCACTATTTAGTATAAAATAGTATCCAATAAATTAATCATTAATAAAAACCCTTAATACACTAATACATTTCTTTTCTAACTAAATTTCAAATATTCCCATTGTTGCAACTTTGTGTCTCGATCAGTCATTATTTATGAAACCAGCTAAAAGGTTCTGAATCACATAAAAACGATACTATTGAAAATTGATGCATGAAAATATATCTTTTCTGTGTTAAATATTTAAATGCTAAATTATTCTACTTGTTATCTGTCAGACTGAACTCCCACTTTACAACATTTTGTGTATTTTAAGTTGATGTTAATCTTGTACCAGTAATGGTGAAATATTGTTTCACATAACGCCATCATTTGTTTTCATCTTGATTGATTATGCAAAAAAAATTGCAGATATTCTTTGTGCAGTACTTAAGTAAACATGAAGCAAACCTATCAGAGTTAAATAATGTTACATGTCAAAGAATTTTCTCCTTCAAGTGCTAACTGCACCTTAAAAGGACAAACAGCCACTTATAAGGACACTAGACAAAAGGCAATACAAGATTGTTGGTTACCAAATTTGGTGACATCATCTATCCATTTGTAAATGATAACAAATTAAGCAGATCAACAATTTTCTTTAAGACAAGTTTATTCAAGGATAATACAATATGGCAACAAGTATTTGTTCACAAGATGTTGAAATAGTTGTGACCAAAATTCATTTGAGCTTATTGACAATTCATTAAAAAGATTTACTTTCAATATGTCAGAAAACCTGATATCAATCAATCCAGTATTGATACCATTCAATCTGGTGCATTGTGGGAAGTGAAGCACTGTTGACAACACACATTGAAAGCTTGAGCCTTGCATCAATACAAAAATATCACACTAAATGCTCTGATCCAGTCAGCTGAAAATAAAAACTAGACTGTCATAGACTAGAGACTTACCTGAACAGAAGAAATCCTAGTGAGGTCACTGCTACTCTTCTTACATCATCATTGACATCACTAACCTGAAAATATAGGTCAAGGTCATTCATTATACACAAACAATAGGTAAAATGAAAATATAGGTCAAAGTCATTCAATATACACAAACAATAGGTAAAGTGAAAATATAGGCCAAGTTCATTCAATATACACAAACAATAGGTAAAGTGAAAATATAGGCCAAGTTCATTCAATATACACAAACAATAGGTAAAGTGAAAATATAGGTCAAGGTCATTCAATATACACAAACAATAGGTAAAGTGAAAATATAGGTCAAGGTCATTCAATATACACAAACAATAGGTAAAGTGAAAATATAGGTCAAGGTCATTCAATATACACAAACAATAGGTAAAGTGAAAATATAGGTCAAGGTCATTCAATATACACAAACAATAGGTAAAGTGAAAATATAGGTCAAGGTCATTCAATATACACAAACAATAGGTAAAGTGAAAATATAGGTCAAGGTCATTCATTATGCACAAACAATATATAAAGTGAAAATATAGGCCAAGGTCATTCAATATACACAAACAATAGGTAGACATGATTCCCAACAAAATATAGTTTAATAGGGTCATTGATCTGAAATAATGAGGGTCATTGATCTGAGACCATTTTAAACAAAGTAAAGGTCAAGGTAAATTGGCATTTTATAATGAGCCAAGTTTATTTCATACAAAATAAAGGTCACAGTCATTTATGATAAAATATACTTTATGGTTATTATACAGAAAATATAATTCAATGTCATTATAAACAAAATACAGGTCAAGGTCACTGACCAACAAATATAGTTTAGGATATTAAAAATAATTTGTAGATCAAGGGCCAATCAATAAAAATTTGATATCACAGCAGCTGGTTAATACACAAGTAACATTAGTTAGCATAAACCCCCAATGTTTACTTCTATCATTTAAAGTTTTCAAGACAATTTTATAACAGCAAATAAAGACAGAATTTAGAGCAATATGCTGGCAATATATAGATTTCTAGCCACAAACATGGTATTTACATATCAAACACTCCTATATCCATCTCATACATCAACAACTAAATTACAGTATTCATTGACAAGTCATGAAATGTAGGCAGAATAACAAATTTAGAATGGGACAATTTTGTAGGCAAAAAAAAATAATAGAAAACAAAACTGACAAAATTTTGACATCTATAGAAGTCTTACAATATAAAAGAGAAAATGGAAAACAAATAAACAAAGCAAAGACTAAGAAGAAATAGTGTAGGCAGGCAACAGATACATAATTTATCATATATGATACAAAGGGGTAACTGGTTAGAATCACAGACCTTTCAAGGAACAGCAGGGTAGCTTCTTTAAATCAAACATTAATGTAACATTTCAAGAGTGAAGGGCAAGTAAAAGATTAAGCTGTAAAAGTGCTGTATTTGAGGCAGTCATCATTATCCTAACATTACAGACTGGAATGAAATCAAGTAAAGTGAAGGAATTGTCTCATATTTCAGTGTTGGGGCGTATAATCCAATCTCTCAAATAATACACCGTCTACTGCTCTTTGTTTCTATCATTGTAAGTAATGTTTGTCATTTGTCATTGTCGGTGATGATGAGGAACTCTTTCCTTGTTTTTATTTATTTTCCATGTCAACTTGTGGAGCAAATTAAAATTAATGTGAAAGTTATGGAGCATACAGCCTCAGGTCAGACTGATGGAATCAATTGAAGAAGAAACTCATGATTCCACAAGTAATCAATCAAAACCTACAGCTTTATTCTCTCAATGGAAGCATTAAAAAAGTTTAACAGATTTCTCCTGAGATGTTTAGTGTTGTTTTACTAGATGGTAAACTAAAACAAGTGAAATGTTCAACAGTATAGATTATGTTACTATTTACACAAAATATTCCTTACTTTAAGCTGGTAGAAAATAACCTACTGTTTGATCCCATATTAAGAGGACCATAGACAAATTCTGGTGTTAAGTTTAAGATTTTTTTCTTTTTTACAAATATCTGAAAGAAAATATCTGTTATTTGATATCAGTGTTTATCTAATATTTTTAGATATTCACCTATACTAAAAGTATTTTAGTTGTACATTTTTGATGACACACCAACAATAAGAAAGTGGCATAGCTACTTAATGGTTTTACTGAAGTGCGAAGATGGCATGGCTGCTTAATGGTTTGACTGGTGGGTAAAGTTGGCATGGCTGTTTAATGGTTTTACCAGTGGAGGCTACTTAATGGTTTTACTGGTGGGTGAAGATGGCATGGCTGATGGCATGGCTGCTTAATGGCTTTATTGGTTAGGGAAGATGGCATGGCTATTTAATGGTTTAATTGGTGGTTGAAGATGGCATGGCTATTTAATGGTTTTAATAGTTGTTGAAGATGGCATGGCTATTTAATGGTTTAATTGGTGGTTGAAGATGGCATGGCTATTTAATGGTTTTAATGGTTGTTGAAGATGGCATGGCTATTTAATGGTTTTACCGGTGGATGAAAATGGTATGGCTATTTAATGGTTTTTGGTGGATGAAAATGGTATGGCTACTTACTAGTTATACTGGTGGGTGAAGATTGGCATGGCTGCTTAATGGTTTAACTGGTAGGTGAAGATGGCATCGCTACTTTGTGGTTTTACCGGCGGATGAAAATGGCATTGCTACATAATGGTTTTACTGGTGGGTGAAAATGGCATGGCTGCTAAATGGTTTTACTGGTGGGTGAAGACAACATGGCTTTATCAATGGTTTCATCGGTGGGTGAAAACAACATGGCTACTTAATGGTTTTACTGGTGGGAGAAGACAACATGGCTATTTAATGGTTTTACTGGTGGATGAAGACAAAGTGGCTATAAAATGGTTTTACTGGTGGGTGAAAACAAACATGGCTACTTAATGGTTTTACTGGTGGGTGAAGACAACATGGCTACTTAATGGTTTTACTGGTGGGTGAAGATGGCATGGCTACTTAATGGTTTTACTGGTGGGTGAAGATGGCATGGCTACTTAATGGTTTTACTGGTGGTTGAAGATGGCATGGCTACTTAATGGTTTTACTGGTGGGTGATAATGGCATCACTACTTAATGGCTTTACTGGTGATTGAAGATGGCATGGCTACTTAATGGTTTCACTGGTGGGTGAAGATGGCATGGCTATTTAATGGTTTTACTGGTGAGTGAAGAAAGCATGGCTACTTAATGGCTTTACTGGTGATTGAAGATGACATGGCTACTTAATGGTTTCACTGGTGGGTGAAGATGGCATGGCTACTTAATGGTTTTACTGGTGGGTGAAGATGGCATGGCTACTTAATGGTTTTACTGGTGGGTGAAGACAACATGGCTACTTAATGGTTTTTACTGGTGGGTGAAGGACAGCATGGCTACTTAATGGTTTTACAGGTGGGTGAAGACAAACATGGCTACTTAATGGTTTTACTGGTGGGTGAAGACAACATGGCTACTTAATGGTTTTACTGGTGGGTGAAAATGGCATGGCTACTTAATGGTTTTACTGGTGGGTGAAGATGGCATGGCTACTTAATGGTTTTACTGGTGGGTGAAGACAAACATGGCTACTTAATGGTTTTACTGGTGGGTGAAGACAACATGGCTATTTAATGGTTTAACTGGTGGGTGAAGATGGCATGGCTATTTAATGGTTTTACTGGTGGTGAAGACAACGTGGCTATTTAATGGTTTTACTGGTGGGTGAAGACAACATGGCTACTTAATGGTTTTACTGGTGGGAGAAGACAACATGGCTACTTAATGGTTTCACCGGTGGGTGAAGACAAACATGGCTACTAAATGGGTTTTTCTGGTGGGTGAAGAACAAACATGGCTATTTAATGGTTTTACTGGTGGGTGAAGACAACATGGCTACTTAATGGTTTTACTGGTGGGTGAAGATGGCATGGCTACTTAATGGTTTTACTGGTGGGTGAAGACAAACATGGCTATTTAATGGTTTTACTGGTGGGTGAAGACAAACATGGCTATTTAATGGTTTTACTGGTGGGTGAAGACAACATGGCTATTTAATGGTTTTACTGGTGGGCGAAGACAACATGGCTTACTTAATGGTTTTACTGGTGGGTGATGACAAACATGGCTATTTAATGGTTTTACTGGTGGGTGAAGACAACATGGCTTCTTAATGGTTTTACTGGCGGTGAAGACAACATGGCTATTTAATGGTTTTACTGGTGGGAGAAGACAACATGGCTATTTAATGGTTTTACTGGTGGGTGATGACAAACATGGCTATTTAATGGTTTTACTGGTGGGTGAAGATGGCATGGCTACTTAATGGTTTTACTGGTGGGTGAAGACAACATGGCTATTTAATGGTTTTACTGGTGGGTGAAGACAACATGGCTATTTAATGGTTTTACTGGTGGGTGAAAATGGCATGGCTACTTAATGGTTTTACTGGTGGGTGAAGATGGCATGGCTACTTAATGGTTTTACAGGTGGGTGAAGACAAACATGGCTATTTAATGGTTTTACTGGTGGGTGAAGACAACATGGCTATTTAATGGTTTTACTGGTGGGTGAAGATGGCATGGCTACTTAATGGTTTTACTGGTGGGAGAAGACAACATGGCTACTTAATGGTTTTACAGGTGGGTGAAGACAAACATGGCTACTTAATGGTTTTACCGGTGGGTGAAGACAAACATGGCTACTTAATGGTTTTACTGGTGGGTGAAGACAACATGGCTATTTAATGGTTTTACTGGTGGGTGAAGATGGCATGGCTACTTAATGGTTTTACTTGTGGGTGAAGATGGCATGGCTACTTAATGGTTTTACTGGTCGGTGAAGACAACATGGCTACCAAACAGTTTCACTGGTATGTGAAGATGGCATGGCTAGTTAGTGGGTGAAGATGGCATGGCTACTAAATTTGTGAATGAATAGACTGAGCTTTTTAGAAAAAGAGATATTGACACGATTTTGGAACAACAAAAAGTACAGATCAATTTATTTCATATTTGAATCAGCATGGCTAGTAATT